AGAAATTTAATTGTACATAAAACACTTTACAAACAAATACTCTATTAATTATATATATTGTTAATAATACGTATTTATTTATGATTACCATGGTATTTTAATCATATCAAAGATAAATAGAAATAAAATAAAACACTATAAGTATTAATAAATACCTTTATGTTTGAGTTTTTATATTTATAGATAAAATAGCTTTATTTATCTCATAATCCAACAAATATTATTTGTAGTGAATATAAGTTTGATGTTATTTATACAAAGTATCTGTAATAATAATATACGCCATAAGAATATAAATAACAAATGTATCAAGATAAGTTGTAATAATATGTTAAGTATTATATTACATTGAACGGAAAGTCTTTACAAACTTTGAACCCTATGATAACTTTTTATCTATTAGATTATATTTTTAAGTAAATGTTTATATATGTTCAGTTGTTTGTCTACTGCGTAATAATGGAGTATCACTTTGTTAAATTAATCTTTCTATTTTTGGCATTAATAAATGTCAATGCCCCCGATTAACCCAATTTGGAAGAACTTCGCGATAGTGTTTCACCTGAATAACAGAGGGCGTTTATAAAGATATGTGTGTTGTTGAATAACTCTCCAAGGGTAGTTGCCAGTCAGCTAGCAACTGCTTTGCCACAAACATATTTGAATGAAAAATCGGTGTATAATTGGTATAATGATTTTAAGGGCGGAAACCGCACAGATATAAGTGATTTACCTCGCTCAGGTAGACCACATGGGACGACTCAAGATATGAAAGAACAAGTAAAACAACTTATTCTAGAGAGTGATGGTATGAGAACAAACGACCTTTTGTATGAAACCGGAATCCCAAAAACGAGTTTATTAACAATATTAAGCGAATTAAAGGCAAAAAAATTAAAGTCAAGGTGGACCCCACATGAACTCACACAAAGACAAACACAAGCACGACATAATATTGCGGGAAAACATCTTGCAAGGTATCAAACGGAATCTGGCTTTCTAGATAAAATAATTGCAATCGATGAAACATGGTTAAAATCATATGATCCTGAGGATGCTAGACAAAGTAGTGAATGGTTGCTCCCTGGTCAAAAGCCGTAAGTACAAAAGATTTTAAAAATTGTTATTTGTACAAATTTCACTCACCGGATTTCTATCTTACTTATCACAGACCAAAGATATTGCATGCAGGGTTTCAGCAATGGAAGTGCATAATGATCGTGGCACTTTGGAAGAAGCAAGTCTTTACATACGAGATATAACCCAATGGACAAACCGTAGACAGTGGTGTTTATCTTAAGTTTCTTCAACGTCGAGTGTTGCATGCAGGGTTTCAGCAATGGAAGTGCATAATGATCGTGGCACTTTGGAAGAAGCAAGTCTTTACATACGAGATATTACCCAATGGACAAACCGTAGACAGTGGTGTTTATCTTAAGTTTCTTCAACGTCGAGTGCTCCCGGAAGTTACTCGAAAGAAAATGGCAAAGCCTATTATCTTACATGACAATGCTAGACCCCATAAACATCGAATAGTTCGGGAGTTTTTACAAGAAAATCGTTGGTAGGAATTAAAACACCCGCCATATAGTCCTGATATGTCACCGCCGGATATGGATGGGATATATCGTATAAAGCTCCTAATAAGGGGAAGCAGTTCCAGAGTCAAAATGAGCTAATTCGCGATTATGAAGCAACAATTCGGGACTTCGAGTTCTCCCGGAAGTTACTCGAAAGAAAATGGCAAAGCCTATTATCTTACATGACAATGCTAGACCCCATAAACATCGAATAGTTCGGGAGTTTTTACAAGAAAATCGTTGGGAGGAATTAGAACACCCGCCATATAGTCCTGATATGTCACCGCCGGATATGGATGGGATATATCGTATAAAAGCTCCTAATAAGGGGAAGCAGTTCCAGAGTCAAGATGAGCTAATTCGCGATTATGAAGCAATTTAGAACACCCGCCATATAGTCCTGATATGTCACCGCCGGATATGGATGGGATATATCGTATAAAAGCTCCTAATAAGAGGAAGCAGTTCCAGAGTCAAGATGAGCTAATTCGCGATTATGAAGCAAAAATTCGGGACATTAATCAAAAGCATGCACCACTTGGTATTAGTATGCTGCCTGACCGCTGGCGTGCCATAGCACTGACTCGCAGTAATTACATTGACTGATGATGAAATAAAAAAATTTTATCTTGTAAAAATTCCAAAATATTTGAAAAATAAAATTTGTAAAGACTTACCGTTCTATATAATATATATATTGTACCTAGATCAGCATTACTCACGATGCTGTCGAATTTGATGTAGCATGTTCGGATGGCATGACCAAAAAGTTTACGGCTTATTTTGACAAGAAAGGACTTCACCGTCGATACGGCCACTACAGCACTATAGTTGGAACAAAGTATCCATGGTACACTATTAACCTGGCTACAGATAAACTAATGGACGCCACAAATATTGTTTATGGAGGTTATAATCTTGCCACATACAACTGTAAATATTATGCCTATAATATTTTCACCTTGATCCGGGCCATGTTCAGTTGCACATGGAAACCTAACAATTGGTGCGGTTTCTATGCCAAGGTATATTTGTATGATGCATTACTTGCAAAAAGGTAATATTTTGGTTTATACAGTATAATACGAGATAATTGTGCTCGCAACACAATACTGCAAGTTATTTGTTATATAACATTTATTACTATTAGCAATATTAAATGTAAGATTATCGACACAAATTGTTTTAATCAAACTTTGTATCTAGCAATTTAAATTTTAATTATAATATACAATGCATTACTACCACATATTACCTTGTTACAACTAGTAATCCATATAATATTTGATGAACTATTCAACTTATATTGTTTATTTAATTTGATATTATTATAATATATATAATAGACAAGGTCAACTGGTAAATCGCCAATGGTGCCATTCATATGCCGAGGTGAAGGTGATTGGCGCAGGGGACCGGTAGCCTGTAGTACAATTTGCCAGTACAAGAATTATGTGCTTGGTATTTGTCTGGATGGTAGGTGCGTGTGTTCCGATCATAACAGTGCGTCATAAATAATTATAACTATTAACATTGCTTATAATTACAATTTATCTAGTGCAAAGTTAAAATATTAAAATTTATACAATAGTTATGATTCAAATAAATTGGAAAATAATTTGTAAAACAAAACATTTATTAATATATGATTTAATAAATCTAAATTTAATATAAACTAATCAAGTACCTGGGTGAAATCTGGTAGAATATACCTTCCCAAACCTTCGTCAATGAATACTATAAACGTAACATGATCAATGTATTCATTGTATTATAATACATACTGTATCTACATTTTAATAGTGAATAAAAGTATTATAAATTTTAATTTTAAAAATTATAAAGTACTTTTACTTAACACTAATTTTAATTATATTGTTCGGGGTTAGTTGCTAATTAACCTAACATTTGCTCACATGTCGTAAACATATTGTGACAAAAGAGGTGGACGTGACCTATGGTCTGATGGTTGTCACAGACGACCGACTCTTTGACTTCATTGGCACTCATTATACGGAATCCGATGACAAGAACTCAATGATTGAGACATTGATTACGAGTTTAGATAAGGATTTGGGCGCCGATTGGCT